CAGCATTACCATATTAGGTCATGATAAGCCGTTGCCTATAATATTTAAAATAACACAACAATCCATGATTTACCGCAATTAAACAAGTTAAAATAAATCACTACCAGTATCTTACAACAATTCAAAACCATGGCAAGTGTTCTTTGAAGAATTAAAGTCGTAATAAGCTTAAACAACGGCATAATTCATGTTTGACGGCAGTAATGCACCTATCAATTGACACCCCGATCCCCCCCCCCACACACACACACACCCCCCGGGACATAGTGGGGCAATGTGGGGAATTTTATGGTACTTGACGTGGGGAATTTTATGGTAATCCCCGTGGAGATCTGGGATTTGTCGGGATTTGCCTTTGAAAATTTCCCCTTGGGAAGTAGGGGTGGGGATTTGACTCACTCGCAATTTCCCAGGTTCCGGTCACGCTACTCGCACATGGTTGAGGGCTGCCATGGCGACTTACTATTTTAAAAAAGTTTTTGCAGTTTTGCACAACAACAAGGTATGTGTCTAGTTTATAATGCTTTCATATATAAAATATTAAATTGTTTATTAATATTTGCTTTCTATTGTTTTATCTTAGTCCGGGAAACAATAAAACGAAGGAAAATAGAGGGATTGCTCGCAGTCTAATTGTTTTAATATTGTGATTTTAAACATTTTCTTGTGTGATTCTACCTATAAAAACACGAAATGAATGCTGGATTTTTTTTCTCTGCTATTTCTTACTATATATGTTTCGTTGCTCCATTGACTATTGTCAATTAGTGTTGTTGCACAAGTGAACACAAAAAACCCTACAAGTTGATTGGTCAAATTTTGACGTATTAAGAAGTTATATTCACCTATACAGGTGAAAATAAAAACCCCTGAAATTTTCAAAATGGCGACTAGCCGTTTTGTGAAGCTACTGATAGAGAAATAAGCAAAATTAAAATAAATCCAGTCCCAAAAAACACAAAAGACTTGTGTAAAAATACTAAAACAATTATTCGCCTCAGGCTTGGTGATTATCGGGGAATATTCACCCGTTAGTACATTGTTCTGTTCCTTAATAAATTTGTAATTGATATTTCTATTTGCATGAAGAGTGTACTTTTATACAGAACTTTCAGTAGCAAAAAATGGTAGTTTTGTCAGATTGCCCCTCCAGGGTGGGGTAAGGTGGGGGTTTATTCACTTTAGAACCAATGTCAAATCAAATCCCCACTATATCCCGGGGTGGGGGTGGGGGTCGTGGTGTCAATTGATAGGTGCATAATGTATATTTATAAATGTCGAGCGGAGTGCTGGATCCAAATGTACTGATTTTCGTGCAAAATTCGCTGGTGTTTCCCAGACAGTGCTTCCACTTGCAAGGATTTTTCAAGGTAATTTACAAGGAAATGGCAAGGGAAAATCCAAAAATTAAAGGAAATTGCAAGGATTTCTGTAACTTATACCAGTTATGAGTCTAAAACCACTTCTAATAAAAATGAACTTATAAATAGTATCCGCCTAACAAAAGCAAAAGAGGTACGGAAGATCTGAAAATGCCATTTCCGGCGATCTGGAGACTATAAATTTCAAAATTTGTCGTTCAGCATCCGACCGCTCCACAATTATCAAGCACCTTCGCCCCTGGATGAGCATAAACATATATGTTGTACAGATACTTTCATGGAGGGAACTCTTGAAAGTTTGCCCTAGCTAAATTTCAGGCAATGTAATGATACTTGATTTCTCGTAGGGTCTATGATTGCCTGAATTTTCCTGATTGTTCTGAATTTTTGTGGGGAAAAAGGAATTTTGGGACTATAAAAGGATTTTTAAAGAAGCGGTTGTGAAAGCACTGTTCCCAGAGCCTCAGCAAGCCTCTATAGAGGATTGCAGGCTCAGGGTTCGAGATTGAAAATTTGGTGGATGTGATAAATATCCAAAATAGTCGTGTCCAGTTCACTACGTTATCAAATCCAAGATGGCGGCCAATGTGAAATTTACTAGCGGCTAAGTCACACCTAGCCAATCCCTATCCCTAACCTCCTAACCAATCATACTTCGTGACTGCGTGACATGAAAATGTAACCTTAAATCATAACTCCTTTAAATGGAGGAAAGCACATTTGCCCGACGCCATCTTGAATTCATTATTAACTCAGGATACTGTGGTTATCCTATGATAGTACTCTCATTTCTTTCGTCAGCTGGGAGGTAAACACGCGATAAGAAGTTTTCTATATTAAATTGACTAGATATATTTACTATGAAAAGATGCCGATTTTTATGGCGAATTCAATGGTGTTCTCCAATTTAATTTCCCATCCAGTGTGTACACAAATTTCTATAGTAGGATAAGACTCGAGTTTTAGAGTTTTAATTATAAGGCATTAAGGGCGAATATCTCCGTTTGGTTTTTGAATGAAAGTGGAAAACTACGGCTGTTAATGCAGAATTTCGTGCAGAATCAAACAAACGAAGGGTATTTTCGGAATTTCCATCTACCGTGCACAGAACTTTGTGCTCACTATACGAAAGTAAATTATCTATCGATATTTTGTTATTTTTCACCTCGCGAGGCGGAAAAATCTCAACATCAGTGGATGTTGCAAGCTTAGTGCTGAGCTGCTTGAATCAATTAGCCAATAAGAAACCATACTTTCTTCATGTGATTTTTAACAAAATGGAGGAAAATGCAAACGATTTTGTCAGCTATGTTGTTGCTGAGTAGTTTTCCGAACGTGTGCAGTGAAAATGCATAGCTGAGGTGGTTAGCTCAGCAAGTTTCTCTCGTGTTAACGATCAATGCATACGAATCACTGTGAAAAAATGTCGATACGCGAAATGTTGTTAATAGGGAGTTTAAGCTTAATGTTTCCGGGAACGGCAGGTTCGAACTTTCTTGGCAAAATTTTCGTTAAACGTTTTCGTTTCGTATTTTCTTTCTTGTGCCAAAGAACAATCATGCAGGGCCGTCCTCAGGGAATTCTTAATAGTAAGGTCATTTCAACCGACCAACACCTGAAAAATTTTTTTTGCGAAAAAATTATTTTTGGCAGTGTACCATTTTAGGGGTACAAACATTTTTCCGGACATATCCAAAAATTTTTGGAACATCACAAATTTTCTTCATTTATCAAAAAAAATTTTCTAAAATTCCGAAAATTTCTAGAATATTCGAAATTTTTGTAAATATACCTCATTTTTTTCCAAATTCATAGTTATTCATAGCCTGCAATCATGCATAGCAGTTTTAAAACAGCAAGTTAATTTACTCTTTTTTGCCTGATACCGTAAAATGTTTCTTTGCCTGGCGTTCGCCGTTTGACGTATAACGCGAAGCTTAAACTCTCTATAGCTACGTTTACACGCTGCGATTAATCGTGAACGATTCGTTTCCTGGCGTATGTCATTGAGTAAACACGCGTATTTTGAAATTTCTTTCAGTTAACGAAACGCCAATGAATTATGGCGCCAGCACTCATTTTAATACGCCAGAATACGAATCGTACACGACAAATCGTACCGTGTAAACGTAGCTTATTTTTGTATTTTCGGCCGGTTTATTTTCTTTTATATGCTAAAATAAATCGTCATTATAATATGATTATTTATGATTTAAAAGCATCAAAAGTGTATTTATTGTGATTTTTGCTGCTGTAAGCTAGCTTTATTATAACTATTTGGCCTTTTTATAAAGTGGCATAAAGACAAAAAATTCCGAATGGCCATACTCGGCATGCTCGAGCGACAATTAGTCCAATCAGAATCCAATATTTTAATTTTCCCGCGAATACGTTTGTTTTGGTTACATTGATATCGTAACTCAGACCCAGGTCATTGCGCGGAATTTAAGATGGCGTCGGCCAAATGTATAAAATGTGCCGATTTCCCGATTTAATAGCCGTATGTGTGAAGGATTTAGCCCCTAGTCTGCAATTCCTATTAGTACATATATCAATATTAGCACTTTATGTGGAGTTTGTCATGCAGACAGAAGCTTTCGATCACTTTTATTTTTTGTAAAATATATATATTAAACAATATTACATGCAGCGTTGCATCACATGTTAATGTTGTTGTCGAGTGTCGCCGCTTTGTTGCACGTATTTATGCCCCATTGGCGTATTTATACGACTCTTGTAAAAGCATCTTAAGGACTTCAATTTCCTCTTCATTCCTTGGAGCATAGACAAGGATTTCTTTGACTCCACGCTCGTAATACATATGTCGAACTCCCCAACTGTTCGCAAGTACTTCGTCTTCCACTTGAGTGCTAACAACAATATGGCAGCTGCCGTCTTTGTGAAGATGCGCGAACTCTCTGCTTCCATCTGGCGGCATAAAAGAATCACCATGTGCAGCAGTTATCCCAGGCTTTAGGAAAAGCGCTTCTGACGTGGGTGCCGAAATCATTGTGGGTTTTTTATCTGCATTAGGAAAGGTTTTCGGGTCGAATAGCCAAGCGTGAAAGGCATCGTAGATAGCCTTCGGGGATTGGTCGCTGTATTGAAATTGTGGAGGCTCCTTGCCAACTACGGGCGGATCACCCGAGCGTTTTTTGAGATTCAGTTTCGACATCATGCAATCTTCGATTTCCTTCCACTGGGATTTGTTAGCCTGCTAGGATTTGTGTGAGTTGTTGTGGCCTGTAGGTCAGCGTATTAAGTCTATACGTCACGAGGTCATTGGTCATTGGTCATCACTAGGATTGGCCCCCGCTCATTTCCATCACTTAAAAATACCGAAGTTTGTACCCTTTTAATAATAATAATAATAATAATAACACTTTATTTAACGAGGATTTACAGATAAAGCTACAGTACAGCTTGTTTCCAATCTGGTCCTCTTAAGTTCTGGAAATATATTACATCACGTGGTTACAATACTCATGCAGTTAACATTCTTTAGAAACCGCGTAGGATATAAAGTCACGGATGCGCCACAAACACACAACATACACAGATACATCACAATCGCACTACATTAACAATCTATAACTATCAACAGTATTAAAGTTTTTATATTAATAATATAATCTTTTTGTGTTCAATTCAGTCATCTTAGCCAGTTTGTTCTTAAGTGTTCTTTACAGAACGATCTAAACCCGCGTGTTGTGCTAAGTTTTTTTCCCACATCTGGAAATTTGTTCCACAAGGAAGGAGCCAGAAACGAAAACCTGCGTTTCCCTGCGTTGGTCCTGGCTTTGGGGAGAAACAGGTTATTGTTTTCTACTGCCC